AAAAAAGAAACACACAAAGAAGCATGCTTTATTTTTCCTAAAAATTTGTAATAACTCTAAGCATGCTTCTAACTCATACTTGCAGCAGCTAAAATCTCCCTTAAACTCATACACTTTCAGCATGGATACCACAGCAAAACAGGGGCTCAAACATCATAAAAACAACAAAAGCAAAACTACCACAACAAGCCTTCTCTTTTCTAAATTACCAAGCATGCGTGCTAGCTCTAGCAGAACTGAAGATTAAACACACGACACCACCTAAAATCTGCCAATTTAAACGTAAAAGCTCAGCAATTGACCAATTGTTACCTCTCTTCAGGTAGCAATAGTAAACAAGGAATGACTCGGGGCTGGTGCTAAAGGACGCGGTCTGTTGCTGTCTAGGCTCGGCTTTTGGAGCTGAGCTCGGTCTCGGTGCTGCTGGGATTAGAGGGTATTTACATAGTGTGCTTAGGGCTTCTAAATAGTGGAAGACTCATTCCTAGGCTTCCTTGGTGCATGTGGCGACTGAAAAATGTGAGAGAGTGGCTGTTGCGGAGCTGGTCAGCCGAGAGAAAAAAAAGGGGTGTTTGTTGGGGTGATTGAAACATTATGGGCGGCATATAGCACTTAGGAAGACATATATGGTGATGCATGCCGTTTTTAATTTGGCTAAAACAAAATAACTCAAGATCCAAAAATGGCACAAAATTAAATTGAACACGTATAGCAATTTTGGCACAAACACACTTAGGTACATAAAAATTGGCACCACTTAGGAACAAAATTAGACAATTAGTACAGTTAGGCAAAATAAATTAAATACTTAACACATATTTAAACACACAAAATGCACTTAAGGCTTATAATTCATTTAAGCATACTTAGTACTTAGGATAATTAAATATACAAGAGCACAAACGAAAAAATAAGAACCGAGATTTAAACTTAGCCGAGCGATGAGATGAAAAGAAATGCAGATGCTATGCTTTAATTGAAAAAACGTTGAGCAAACAGTTGCAATAATCATAATAATAATTAATATTTTTCCACTAATTAATTGGTCGAAGCCTTTAAACCTTGCAAAAATAAAATCATTCATTACATTTTATTATGCAATCTATATAATGATTTTCACGAATAAATAAAATTGATTATAACTTTTTATTAACGATTACATTTATAATAAAACACAAATGAAGTTACATAAATTACGACTTTAAATATAACATCAATACGCCTAAGATATTCAATTCGTATTTCTAGTTGAATCTAGTTCAAATAAATCGATATTTGCCTCATTACGCAATAAACAACTTTCAAAATGTTTGTTTAAACTACCGACAATTTTCAATATTAATTTGACCCATATATTCTTTTTTATTATTATTATTATTATTATTATTATGGCTTAAAGCCATTAGGCCTACGTCTTTTATAATGCATACATATTCATTCACACATAAACCTTTCAATTTACAGGTAAAAGTATTTGATCATAAAGTTGAAATCATTATATTTTATTCAAACACCATGAAGGCTTTCTGGGCAACTGGTTTTTAGAGACAACACAGACAGCACCATAAACAAAATGGTACAATGACAAGAAAAGACAGTCCAACATCATAAATTACAATTTCGACCGGACCTTGTCGATAAGATCTTTTCTGAGGATTTTGCCTGATGCTGATTTCGGGACCGTATTTATGAATGTAACCTTCTTTAGTCTTTTGTAGGGCGCCACCTGAAATGTATTTTTTAATTTTTTTTTCTGTTATCAACAAAACATACACAAATCTTCGTGCCCACCATTCGGACGCTTAACAAAAATGTATTTGTTCTTTTCTGATCTGTAAAAATAATACCTGGTCAGCGATGAACTTCTTGATATCCTCCTCAGTGAGGGAGCTATTGGGGGCACCAACAACATAAGCAATTGGGACTTCACCAGCTTCAGTATCAGGAAACCTACGAACACAAGAATTATCAGCACGCTCGAGCTTATCCTTATGCTTAATTATCAAGAAAGCGTATCTGAAGAGTTCATTAGCATTTTTCTGCCAATCGATTTATTAGCTGAGTTTACGTAACACTTTAATATATCAGCTGGTTTTTCAAACATCAACCATTAGCAGATTAGGTTAGCTACACATATTCGGTAGAGTTATTCAAACCAAGTTGTTCGCAAATGCGTGTAGGTTCGACTCGTGAAAGCTCGATCTCAACTCGTTCTTTTACTCAAGCAGGCCGAGCTCAAACAACTAATTTAACTCTTTTATTAAACAAGCTGAGCAAACTCATGGACAACTCGGTTATATTTTTTATTACTTTTCAAAAGAACACTAGAGCCCAGAATGTTTGCGAACAACTCGTATATGATTTTCGATTTGTCCACGAGCTTAAACCAGCCAAGCCGGCTCGTTTATTAAATGATCACGAGCCCAAACACAAAGTGCTTGACTCGCCTCGAATAACACCCCTACTTTTCGGTCACCAACCATCACTTATCAGCACGAAAACTTATAAACTATTACCTATCCATTAACTCATTCCCTATCAGCTACTTTTCAGCTAGATCTATGAAACATAACCTAAATTCAAAGAGCATGTGCTCGGGAAAATTTTAAATAGAAAACAACACGGGGAATTTTAATATGTTTCTTACGGAATTACAACAGCATCTGTTATCTCAGGGTGGGACACAAGCAGCCCTTCCAGCTCTGCTGGTGCAACCTACCAAGTCAGAAAGTAAACAGAAAACTAAATTCCGGCAAATCAAAGTACTTTTAACGGAGAAATCTTGAAAAACAGATAAATATCAAGCATGTAAAGAAAATAACTACAGTAATTATCTTCATCACTCTTAAAAATAAGAAAATCCGGACAAATACTTAACCAGTTACAGTCCTCATATATAACACAGCAGACTTCCAGTAACATACCAAAAAAATAAACTGAAATTGAAAAAAAATTGAAAATTCACTAAAGCCCCTGCAAAAAGAAATTAGAACCAATTAAAGGGAACACTTAGCTGAGAAAATGGGGAAAACAATGATATATCATCGAACATGTAATTATTGATGGACAAAAAATTTCACAACGGAGGAAATATCTCGAGCATTATTCACAGAGGGGTAATTAATACCTGAAAACCTTTGTACTTAATGAGTTCTTTAATACGGTCGACAACATAGAGCTGACCCTCTTCATCAAAATACCCGAGATCTCCAGTATGCACCCATCCCTGCTTGTCTATTGTATGCTTAGTAGCTTCTGGATTGTTGAAATAACCTTAAGACAGAGCACACAACAGGAAAATTAAATAATTTATGAGGATTTTAACACACGAATACAATAATAAAGCACAGGTAATGGCCTATTAAAAAGAGCGAGGACAATATCACGACAGCCTCAACAGAACAGCCGAAATACATCAACCTGTAACATTGCCTTAAAACTCAAGGCATTTTGAGAAAAAGTAAAGAATAATTAGAATTTCATGTCCAGAGAATATGAGAACTAACAACGTAAGAAATTAGTTGCATAATGCACGTGACTTTTCTTTTTGATCTCTTAAATCGCAAGCAAGACACATGCATGAAGGTAGTAGCACTTGTTGAATTAGGTAATTTTAAACATGTGAAATTAAATATCCATAATGAAATCTGACACTGTATACCTTTCATTGTATTGGGTCCTCGCACCCATATTTCTCCCAATTGACCAGGAGGAAGAGGCTTTGATTTGTCGACGCTAACTATTTGACCCTCGACTCCTGGAGCAAGTATTCCAGCCGAGCCAGTATGTCGAGGGCCGGTATATGGATTCTCAAGAGATGCAATGCCACAGGTTTCAGTCATTCCATAACCCTGATTAAAGCCACTTTCTTCATCAGAACACAACACAGCAAGCAGCATATAAAAAAATTAACAAGTGCATGAATCATTTTGTCAAATTAAATATTGCTAACAAGTATTATAGAGTACTCACGGTATATACTGTATCATGCTTGCAATGAAGTTGTATGGGTCAAACGGCACAAAAATATGGCAGCTTCAGAAGAGGATTTATCTTGAATATGCTCATTTTTCTGAATTGCATAATGTTCCACTCCGATTACAAAAAATGATATTTACGGGATTTGCTTTTGTACTTTTACAACTTATACACACTCAAAGTACGTTGGTATTATTTTTGTCTATGTCACATATTCCAATCAAGAAGGAAACATCAAATTTGGCTTATGTTAGTTTTAAAAAGAAAAAACCTTTTTGATGACTAAATACTACAATTTACGTTTCAGAAGAGAACTTTACCAAAGGTTCTTTTTTATTCTATTCTTATTTCAAGAAAAAAAATAAAAAGGCATATTAAGAACTTAGTCCATGCTATAGTAATATTAATCACATAATATGTGACCGAGGTCATCCATCCTTATATACGATAAATGAAAGTGCAGAAACTCTGGGTGCCGTATAGGTCAAATATCACATGATTCAGAGTTTGTATGCCTAGTTATGCCTCACAGAATATCTATATATATACACATACATATATATGTGTGTGTGTGTGTGTGTCTGTGTGTGTGTTTAATAACCAAAGTCAGCAGAAAGAAGGGACTTTGTCGTCCTACCTAACATTATAGGTTTTAAAGTGCAGGGTTGTTTTATTATATATAGCTAGTATAGGCTGTTAGGATTGGTTTGATTTAAATGTTCATAATTTTATGATAAAAATAGCAATTAATAACAATAGGTAGGTGATTGAGTTATAGACAGAAGAATAGTACGATTGGAAACAAATTTTCCAAAGAGTTCATTCAGCTATATCATTGCAACACATAATATACTGGTACATTTAACATTTTTTATTTTTTTTTATTCAACATCATTATATGTTAGATAATTTAAGTTTTGATTATCTTAATTATTTTAGGATATTTTAAATCGAATTTGGTACCAGAGAGTCAATTAAAAATGAATGTCATTGGACTATGAATCTTCAATATATCGATCGATTATTTATGACAAAAAGAGTTGAGCATAGAAAACGAGATCATGCAAATATTAAAAAGATCGTAATGAAAATAACCGACGTAATTTTTTGAAACACATATTGGAAGAAATCTATTAAACGCCTGTACATTATCAGCTATGGAAGTTGTTATCATATAATGATCGCTCCTGCAAATATGAGCCAAAACTACGGTTTGTTATAAATTGTAACATATATAATCATCAACTGCAAATCCCATTATACGTAAGTAATCTAGGATGGCAGATTTTATGTAAATACCGAATCAACTGCATCGAAATCATGCAAGAAAAACGTAAATCAGACCGTCTGACTATATAATGATAACCTCAAACTGGTTGCCAAAATAAGTTTCTTTTTGTTTTTTCTTTTTTCTTTTTTGCTTTTCCTGGTTTTCTTTGAGGCCCCAATCAAAATATTTTGTTTCGATGTTAATTGTCGGTTTCTTTCCCGTGCCATACACTACAAATTTTGGCTGCTAGCAATGATTTTTTTACTTTTTATGCCAGGATATATTATCCATTTTTATTTATTTTTTGTTATTTTCGGTATACCTTGAAATCAGTAAAATACAGAATCCAAAATTCAGTTACCGAGTCAGTGACTGAACAAAAATCGATTTCGGTTTCACCTTCAGTTTCTTTAATCAACAACACCGAGGTTGTCAGGTATATACCAACTCAAGTGACTATATGACTTGGATCAGTTTTGAACTCGAGATGATTAAGAATAGTTGATCAAAATGGATGCTAATGTTTCAACAACTTGGTACTTGGTAGAGTTGCAAGATCAAGTCTATATCCAGAGGTACTTGACTAGAAGAAATTTTCGTCACCGCCATTAAACTTATGGCATGAGGACCACTCACATCTTAACAGTACAAGGTCTAGACATCTATGCTAACAAGAAAGTCATACGCATAATAAAAAAAACGTGTATGTTGTTATGATTCATGCAATTAAGCACAGTTACCAAACAAATTTTGAATGACAAACAACAAATTTAACCACATTAAGGAATTCACGACATGGTGAGGTGTACAATCAAGGTTATGACCTGCTGTATTTCAACCATATTCACTATATCATGAGGATCACTTTTGAATTAAAATACTAGAGACCAGCTAGAAGTGATGAGAATAGTGAAACAAACTTAGGAACTCAAAATTAAAGCCATCCACACAGCTTAAGTGTAAATTTAACATAATGATTAGACAAACCAACCTGCACAAGGACAGCCCCGGGGAAATTCTTGGCACAGTCCTGCATCAGCTCCCTCCCAAGGGGGGCCGCCCCCGACCCTATCTGCTTCAAACTCGACAGATCGTACTTTTTAACCATTGGGCTTTTGGCCAGCCCCAATACAATAGGCGGCACCACCCACAAGTGTGTCACTCCATACTTCTCCACCATCTTCAGAATCAGCTCCAGATCAAACCTCGACATCGAGACCACAGCATTGCCCCGTTGAAGCTGAGAATAGAGGATCGCTGCGAGACCAAACACGTGGAACATCGGCAGAAAACACAGGAAAACATTATCCGATTCACCTGCCAATTCTTGATACGAGGTCACCATTAAGGCGCTGGAAATGAAGTTGCGGTGAGTAAGTACGACGCCTTTGCTCGTGCCGGTGGTTCCAGACGAGTACAGCAGCGCAGCAGTATCATCCTGCTTGATATTATTGAAATTACTGTCCAAATCAAGAGACCCTCCTCCATTATTGAGTAGGTCAGTGAATAAGGTGATGGACGGGATTTTCCCAATGGGTGAACTTGGTTTGACATGGGAATTTAGTAGAACGACTGGCAGGCCAAAATCCTTCACCTTCGGTAGCAAATCCTCGACGGTGATGATAAGCCTGGCGTTGGAATCCTTTACCTGTTTAGATAATTCCGAGGTGGTGTACATGGGGTTCACTGTGGTGGTAATAGCTCCCACGGCGGCAATCCCGAAGAAGCTGAGGGGGAAGTGAATAGAGTTGGGAGCGAAGATGAGGACGACGTCGTTCTTGGTGATGCCCAGATGGAGCAGGCTGTGGGCGACTCTGGAGACGGCGGATTTGAGGTGGGCGAAGGTTAAGGTCTCGCCGGTGTGTGAATCAATGAGGGCGCGCTTGTCGGGAAAAGAGGAAGCGTTTCTGAAGAGAAAAGAGATCATGGAGAGGTTTGGGTCTGTGGGGACAAACAATGGCGGCCCCAGGGATCTGTACACGCCGTCCCGGCCATAGCCCGATTTCTCCATTTTTCTTTTTTTTTTTTTTTAATTCTTTTGTACTTGAATCTTTACGCGGGTGTTTTGATGAACTAGTAAAATGCACGCACGGGGTGTCACAATGATATTCGCGGATAAGTTTGCAAAATAAATTAATTAATTTCTTAAACATATCATTGCAGAAATGAAATAAAATATAGAAAAAATGAACTAATATGTGATTGATTTTTTTTATTTAGAATTAACGTAATGATCTCCTCATATACAAAAAATGAAATAACATTTTAGAACCCCCAACAAAAATATATATAAAAAACAAATCTCTAATAAAAAAACACAAAGATTTTCTTTCATTTTGGTTTTGACGTTCTCATAAGAACATTTAGAGTCCAATACATCAATAATATTGCAAAATTTCTCTTAATTAATTTGGCAAAACGCCAATTTTATTCAAACACTTACGAAACATTCTGACCCAACATACAGTCAAATTTCATGATCGCATGATCTTTATAACAAGGTACTTCTACTAACAAAGGATAAATATCTCTATGAAATAACTAACGGTGTCACTAAAATTGCTGATATTTTTTATCACTGTATAAACTACTAATTCCTCTTAAATAATTTTATATTCCTCTGTCTCTAGATATATTGGTTTCTACCCTATTGATGCATCACCCCACGAGGTGGGAATGAATTTTATCTCCAAATAAAAGTTGACTTTCCAAAATCTGGGTTACATGTACTTCTTTCGAGGTGCTAAATTATTTTTTTAAATCACCATACATTACCTGAAAGTACCTCTAAAGTAATTCCACATATGTTCAAGCGCAATACACCAATGAGATTATAAATATTTCTATAAGAAATGACAACTTCATTCTAACAATCAAAACTATTTTGATACTCATACATTTCATTTTCAGTGTTATTTATTTAGAAAATAGACGAAGAATATAATTTATTTTTTGCAATGATAAAACAAAACAAACAAAACAATGAGAAAATATTGAGAAGCATATCATTTGTTAAAATATTTGACAGCAGAAGAATTAGAATTCCATTATAGGACGATACTTTTAGTCATCTGTAAAGTTTATTATTATGGAGTCATGATTAAAATATACATCATGTAATTATTTAAA